CCTCAAAGAGAAGTTTGGTATTATTATCTTGTTAGATTTCGTGGTTTGACCATGAGGTTTGACTCGTATCAAACGAAGTCAGAGCATACAATGAAACAACATCTGAGGGCTATGACCTCTATGATACATGATTTAGGCGCTGCTTGTCATGTGTTGACCAATGAACAACAAGTTCAAGCTGTACTTCACTCCCTTCCACCATCATGGGAGCATATGAAATGAAACATGACGCACAATGAGAGTGTAAAAACACTCAAGAATGTATCGCGTCTCCTTGAGCTTGAGGTTGAGTGCTTGAAGGCTAACAAAATTGAGAGTAGCTCATATGTGGCTAAAGTTGGCTCTCGGAAGACCTTTGGATCCAAGTGCAACCATGGTGAAAATAAGTCTGATGCTCAAACTGGGGCTGGTCACTCTAGTTATAACAAGCACAAACAAGGTAAAAGAGCTAGTAAGAAGAATAAAGCCAACATGATGTGCTATAACTATAACAAGAGGGGTCACTTCGCGCTTGAATGCATTGAGCCGAAGAAGGTACTCTCTAGTTCTGTCTCTTACATTGACTGTTTAGTTACTAGTCAAGTTTTTGTTGCTCATTCTCCTAATTCGTGGATTATAGACTCAGGAGCAACAGACCACATAACGAGACATAGATTCGAATTTGTGGAGTAGTATCGAGTTCCAACTAGAAGCAAACAAATTTACATGGGAAACAAGACCAGTATAGTTGTGCTTGGAATTGACACATACAAATTGGAATTGCAACACGGGCGCACTCTATACCTTCATGATGTATTATATGCTCCTGGAATCCGACGAAATTTGTTGTCAGTTACTAGCTTAATGAGACTAGGTTTTATTTTTTGTTTTGAAGGCCAACATGTTGGCATTTACAAGGGAACTACATTCTATGATCTGGTTATATCACTGATGTTTTTATTGTATTAGATATTGATCATTCTAGTAATGAAACTTATTCTTATGTTACATCTATGGATAGTGTTAATTCTATGTACACAAAAATGAGATCTGACATTTGAGGATCGATAATGGACACAACTCCATGTCCATTATGCCTGTGTTTGCTGATTAGCCAGATGCGAAATCTTAATTTGGCGTCTTTGGAGGGCGAGCAAACAGAGAACTCGGGTTAGACGCTTCTAGACTAAGATCTGTACGGTGTCTGAGTATGACACACGCTCTCATTAGGATCAAGACATTCCACCGTAACATGTATTTCATACTACATGTGCTTGGTGACAATTAAGGAGGTGAAGGAATGGATCCCTACTTCCTCACTGTGTGAGCCTTCTGAGTCATTTTTACATGACCAAGTTATTTTGTTTAATCAAATATTCTATGTATTCTCTGACTTTTGACTATGTCATAAAGTGAAAGAATTAATACTCAACTACTTTGACATGTTACTTATGGCCATGAGTGATTTGGCCTTCCGGGACATTGCTGGAAAAACGGTTAATTTTGAACTAAGTAACATGAGGGCGAAAGAAAGACCATTTGGAACATCCCGCGATATATTCACTATCGACAACTTTGGGTGCTAGTTTAGATAGTGATAAAGTGTGAATGTATAGGCGAAAGTTTCGAGGGGTTATGCATGCTCTTATATTGTGACGGATTAGAGATGCTTGAACTAGTGTATCCGAATGGGTCTAGAGTACTTGAGACACCATTTTCATTTTTTTTTAGGGTTGACATCTCTATGCTGGCTCTGTAGAGTTTCTAGTGTAGAGCTCCCAAATTGTAGGTGTGCTCAGTGGTTGCGCGACCCATTAGGCTGTATGAATTAATGTTGATATATATAATGGATTGAGAGAGATAACACTATCGTGCCCACCACGTGCGGTGGGAAATGTTAGATATTGGTTGGGTCATGGATCCGAACCAAGCGTCCATGGCGGGCCGACCCAAATTAAAGAATGCCCAAAGGGGTATGTTTTTTGGAGGTATCCTTTACCAAAATGTATCATTCACCAAAAGGTATCCTTCACCCAAAATACATGTCTATTAAATATTAACAGATATGTTCTTATAAGATCTGTCTCTTAATGACACCTATTGGTTGCCTATATAAACTCAAGGCAATCCAATAGCTGTCATCTTTGAAAAATAATCAAACGTTAAAGTCTCCTACTCTATTTCTCTCTCTCCCTACATAATGTTGAAAGGTTTTTGTGCTGTTGAAACTCGGTATTTATTCCTATTATGTAACAACACTATATTGCTTGAGCAATCGAAGAAAAGACAATTTTCAGATTCTAAAGTACGTGTAACATCTTCAAACAATTTTTTAAATTAAAGTAAACAAGGTATGTCTTTAATCTTATACTTCCGCAATATGTAAACGATTCCCAACACCAACTGATTCTTCCCATTGTTCCAACCCCTACTGCAACAGCTTCGTCCCAGATGATGACTCCGGCGACACCATCCCCCCCACCCCCCACCAAGAACAAGCAACTTCCTCCACGGCTGGCGAGCACTTGGAAATTCTTCTTCTGCTTCCGCTGCAGACACAGTCCGCTATCGATCAGGCCCCGACTTCAACACATACTATGGTCACTCACAGCAAGGCGTGTTGTTCACTTCATGCTCTCTATTCCATTGCCTCGTTAACCATATCTCCCCACCATTACTGCTTCCTTGTAGCTTTACACACTGCTGATGAACTTGCTACAGTCACAACTGCTTTGCACCTTCCTCATTGACGTACTGCCATGGAGGAAGAGTTGGATGCCCTCCATCATAACAACACCTGGGTTTTAGTTCCGCGTATGCATATAATTCCCACAAAATGGGTTTTCAAAACCAAATTTCTGCCTTGGGGAAAAATTGAGCGTCATAAGACTCAACTTGTCGCCGAGGGGTATTATCAAATCCATGGTGTTGATTTCGACCAAACTTTCATACCCATTGTCAAAGCCACTACCACTCTCACCATACTTTCTATCGTCGTCACCCGTACTTGGCCTATGCGTCAATTGGACATCAAGAACTCCTTTTTACGTGGCACATTCAAGGAAGAGGTTTATGTTTCACAACCACCAGACTATATTGATTCTACATACCTGCAGCATGTGTGTCGACTTCAACAGGCACTTTACGATTTACGCCAAGCTTCATGAGCATAGTTTGACCATTTTAGTCAGCATCTCTTTACTCTCGGGTTCCACTATAACCCAGCCGACAATTCTATGTTCACTCTTCATGTTCATGATGATCTTGTTGTCATCCTACTCTATGTCGTGATCATCACAAGTAGCAATGATTTTCTTATACATCCTTGCTCATGTTGCCGCAGATATGACTTGGATCACCTACCCCTTCAAGATATGCATGTCTCACTCCCAACGGTTCCTACTTTGTTTTGTGACAATAGCAGTGCGATGTCCATGGCTTCTAATCCGGTATTCTATGCCCGAACTAAACTCATCGAACTGGACTACCATTTCGTTCGTCAGAAGGTTGCCTCTGGTTCATTGCAAGTCCGGTTTATTTCTTCAGCTAACCAACTAGTCGACATCTTCACCAAGAGTCTTCCAAGTTCTTTCCTCGCCCACTTTGCACACAAGCTGGGAGTGTCGGACCTTGCAGGGGGATGATAAGGATAAACCTCCTGCTATGGGATTAGGATAGGACTTGCTATGAGATCATGATAAGAAGAGAGGATTACATTTTTATCCTATTTTATTGATTGTTATCGGTATTTGCCTATAAATAAATCAAGAAGTATGTGAAAATAATCTAACAAACTCCCTTCACATAGGAGAAACCGTTAAACACCTAGATTATAGCATCATGCATGAAGACCACTTCGAAACATTTTGAATTCGTTGTGGATTAATGTGATGCTATTGCAATGTTAGGGGAAGCAAAATGAGATAAATAATATATTTTCAAGACCATTGTTGTAATTTTTGACTCAAGTAGACAATGATTTTCCTTCATTTGAAAGTACGTGAAAAACACTCGAGCAAAAACGTTTAAAATTAAAATGGAGTCATCATGGGACCACTTAAAAATAAATATAATACATCAAGGACTAATGTAATACAATTAGAACGTCAAATGACCAAAATGAGACAAAATTCAAACTTGGGAAAGCACTACTAAAATTATCCCAAAATTTAAATTCCAAATGTGAAAATTATATTAACAAATTATAATATTAAATCATTTAGTCCTTATTTTTCATCCTATTTTTTGATCCGCAAAATAAACAGACCAACATCACTACTTGAGAGTTGGGAACTAGGGTAGTTGAAAAAAAAAAGGCATGTTTTTCCAAAACATGCACAATTTATGCAGAAGAAAGTATGAAAAGATCAGTTGTTTTGGGCCACAACAGAATTAATAGGAGCTCAATTGGCATTACATAACAGATTAGTTGAAGCTCAATTGGCATGACCTAGAGGGAAAAAAAAAAGACAGGCTAGAACACTTGATACCCACCATTATTTGCCAACATGCAAATAGCCTATTTTCACGACTCGAACACTTAACACTCAAGTCATAATGAAACAACCCTATCGTTACGCAAAGACCCGCTCTCACTTTAGAAAGGGATAAAAATCGTAAATCAAGAACAGTTCTGAAGCCAAAGAACATCATGCGCATTTTTACAGTAAACCACATAGCTACATATTAACCACTATGTATCAAGGTCTTAAGAGTCATAATAGAAGAACATAATGCCAACAGACTTTGATTCCATACAGCGTACAATTGTAGATGCTGCTTTGAACTTTTGCAAAGTTATATCAGATCATCCGCTTTCACAAAGCCTTCTGACTTGCTGATTGTGCAATGAACAAGAGGAGTTCATGTTTGTAATGAAGTTCCACCTGCACCAGTGATGAAAAATGATGGTACATCCACCAACTCTAATTCCATCACTATGAAGATATACCGGTGAGGGAATTAGATGCGCAGGAAATGATAGCCGAATCGAATTTCAAAAAGCTTAGTTGCTTCCATTGTCAATTTTTCCAAACCCGAATGCTACCATCGACAGAGGCAGTTATTATACAGCTGTCCTTCGGGTGATAACTCACACTAGTTACCTGCCAAGCATGTACAACAAACTCTCACTTGATTAACATTATGATAATGCAGGGAAAAAAAAAAGGAACTAAAATATGAATGAGAAACATTAGAAGAGACCCTAGTTCAATAAAAAACAATGAACTTTTTCCACATTAAAACCAAAGAGCTGCAACACGAAGCTTGACATGATCAATCAAATGTCTTTCTCTAACCATGATAATAAATGAATAAAAGAAAGAAAATCTTGGAGGAGGAAGATCATAACTAGCAGTTGCTTTCAAGTGTTTAACCTTCCCTCACCCTAAACAATCACAACTAAGTAGCACTTCCAGAATGAGTTTCACGGCATGAGGCACAGTGAGTTTTGAAACCCCCTATTATGACTAGTTGATCAGGCCTGAAAGTTTGAGGTTATGTCAGACTAGGTGCACTTCCAGAAGCAGACTTGTCAACAAAGTCGCCAGGTTGCAAACTAAGAGCCCTGCAGCACTAGTACCATAGATGGAAGTAAAGAAAGCTCTCAAATTTAAACTAAGCCAGACATGCAATGAAAACTGGCACAGAGCCACACAACCACATGGTCACAGATAGAGTATATGTCTTATTGGCTCACATGGCCTTCCACCTTTTTATTTTTCATGTAATTTATCCCCTGCCCCATACATCCTTTCCTTGAAGTCAGCCCAAAAGGATTTCACTTGGACACTGGCCATTTTGTAACTTTAAATGCTCAGACAATAGTATAGGTTCCTAACTTTAAATTATATTTGTTTCCACCCGTCTAATCACTTGGGACAATGCAAGTCCTCTAAACTTACAGGCATTTAGAACCCAAGCAAGAGGGACACCACCTTTCTCTATCAAACGTCTAATCAAATCATCTTTTTAGATTAGGTTTGAGTATGGCCAAGCTTAGGGAATTGGTTCAGTGGAAAGTTATGCCTTGTGCCTAGATTCACAAGGCTCTGGCAAATCCAGGAAATTTAAATCAAGTTCTTATATTGGCTACTTGCACCAGCACTAAAAATTTTCTCAAACAAAAGGGTGGACCTTTAACAATAAAAGCATCTAACTTAGTTTATCATCGATTAAAGCCCCTCTACCTATTGAAAATGTAATCACACTAATATACCCAAAACGACAAAAAAGACAAATGATATTACAAATTAGTACAAGCAAAACCTAGATCAAGACTTTTTAATAACTTTCTATGGAGCTTTGCAAATTGTTAAAAGAGACTCACCACTGATGAATGAGCTCGGAAACTGGACAACACTGATGCATCTACCAAATCCCAGAAGTAAATGAAGCCATCTTCAGATCCACCAGTCACATGGGCATCAGTATTTGAAAGGCAGCAATCCAGTTTGAAAGACTGATGCAAAAGCACAAAAGTAGATGAGTTAGGATGCTGATCGAAACCTTAACTAGAATTCAACTCAAGGTACAGTTTGCTCTGTCCTCACCTGGCAGCTGCATAATTTAAGATACAGAAACACAAAATTATAAATTATAAAGTTCAAGAACAAATAGATTTGAAACTGGAAAAAAATCAAAAGACAATGGTGCAAAATAGTAGATAACATGTTAAAACATAAAATAACAGTGGTTATTTCAAAGAATTAAAAGCCACTAAGCTAACCTTGCAAGTATGGCCCTTATATTCTTGTAATAGTTCACCACTAGACCTACATTGAGAATGAACCAGTCAAAGTTTGGAAAATAAAAAATAAAGCGCATTTTAGACAGTGTTGCGTAGAAAAAATTACCTGTCCAGAAGCCTTAAAGTAGAATCTAGGCAACTTGCTAGTATGCAGTTACCATCATTTGAAAGAGATATACAATTGACAGGTTGCCCCAGGTTATCAGATATTTCCCTAACAAAAATAATAAAACATTCAGGAAAAAGGGTCTCAAAAAAAAAAAAAAATCCTCCATAAGCAACCTCTTTGAAAGATCATCTCAACTCAAGTACAGCACCCAAAGAGGGTACATTATATTGCCACTGCAAAGGTACATACCTACCGATTCGAATGTCAAATGTGCGAACAGTTCCATCTACACTTCCAGCAATAATCTCACTTTTGGTTAAACATACAGACATTACACTATCCAAAAATGTGTCAATTATCTGCACTTCAACAAAATGTTTGAAAGATAAGTCAGAGCAAACAATTAAAGGCAAGGATGAAAATTTATTTCGGTGTATAGTTTCGAACAGCTTGGAAACAAAATTTTTCTGCAGCTTTTTGGAAACAGAAATTTGGAAATTTGGTATCCAAATTATTAGCTGAAACACATTGAAACATTCTAGAGAACCTCAAAACAAAGGAGTTTTGATAGTCAATCATCGATTTGTTTGGGTTTCCATGCAAACCAAGATGTATCGATTGTTGCAGTGGAAATTAAACGAAATTCCCATTCATGATTAGGGGCAACCTATGATATTTTTGTCTTCATGTGCGAGGGCACATCTGTGAGCATGTGTGTTGGGACAGGGGGGAGAGAGAGAGAGAGAGAGAGAGAGAGAGAGAGAGAGAGACCTGAATTGGCTCAGTGCTGTGAGATCTGCAGTCCCAAGCTCGCAGTGACTGATCATACCCTGCCGATACCACTACAGACGCATACTCATTAAACTTCACAGCATTCACCTGGTATAGATGAAAAAAGATGAAATATTAGAAGTGATCAGAATGCACGGGTAATGCAGCAGATGTGATTTAATACTCGAAATTACAATGACCAAAACAATATGAACTCTCACAAAACAGGATGGGTACGCTCTGTTCCTCAGGTATTAAAACTTTTTTTGACAAGAAAGATTACCTCAGCCATTAGAAACTTTTATCCTCTTCTAATTTTCTCCATTCATCAAAAGCATTTCCATAATATGCTAGTAAGGAAATTTGAAAGAAAGATGGCTGATAAACACTTCGTTGCATTAAACTCATGCTGTGGCCTTCCTAGTATAAAAAGTGTAGCTGGAGCACATACTTGAAAAGAAGTTATCTGATGGATTCTGATGTGTTCCTTCAAACCCTGATCTTTATATTAAAGCGACCTGATTTAATAATATTGGTGGAAGGGGATTGCAATATCGAAACAAAACAGTAGTGCTGACGACCACGTTACTTGCTAACAAGGTCAATACCATATGTAAGCCTATTAATTCAGTAAAGCAATAGAAACATACCCAGATTAGTGGAACATAGATTATATAAATTAAAATATGTGAAATCACAATCCCCCATTTCAACAATTCAATTACTGCAATCACTTTAAAATAGACCATTCAAGCACAATTCTAATGAATTCACCAACTATGACAAGAAAATGAACTTCACAAACCTCACTGTCATGACCACGAAATTTTCGAATAACACGACCGGTTGCTACATCCCAATAGAAGATTTGTCGATCACCACCACAAGAACATAGTTTGGAGTTATCCCTATAGTACAATAACATCTAATCAATTACTGAATGCAAAAACAAGTGTAGAAACTCATTAAAATCATGAGTTTGGAGTTATCCCTATAGCACAATAATATCTAATCAATTACTGAGTGCAAAAACAAGTGTAGAAACTCATTAAAATCATGAATAGAATATTGCAATGGGATTATAAACTTTATTGCTAACATCATTATCGTGTGTAGTGTTTCATTTTTGATGCAGAACAGTATCTCCACCAAACTTTTTCTATATAGAAATGGTCTAATGCTATGCATTATATTGTTGATTCATCACAATTGGCGGACTGTAAGTTATTCTAAGCATATGCAAGGACAATAACCTCCTCTTCAACCACTTGCTTCACTTTATAAATGAAAAGAAAATGAAAAAGGAAGGGGAAAAATAATATATGAATGCAATTCACATAAAACATACTGAGGAACACTGGGAGACTATAATGATTGTCTAAGCAATGAAACAAGAAGATTATGAGCAAAAATTATCGTGACACTACTTAATGTCATTGGGAATTGCAGATGTTCGCTGGCATGTTTCTCAAACTACAAGGACAGTCCTTTGGCACTAGTTTCAGTAACAGAATCCCCTTCTTTTGGTCCATCGTAACAGTCCACTACAACTTTCATGGACAACTTCTCATGACTCTTCATAAATACCCACTTTATTTTTCCTGAAGTTAAATGATAGAAATTTTTTATAGGAAGTCAAATCATCCGTATAAAGTCAATCATTACTTAAAAGGGTATAATTACATCCGAGTTAACCAAGAGAATCAGAAGAGTATGAACCGAGGTAGCTTGGTAAGCTATTTCTTCATTTGTTTTCCAAAACTACAATCTATGTATTAAGCTACACCATGGCCATCAGAGACCACCATGACCACCCACCATGCTAATCCCAACCCCAACTTAGGAACAACCAAATCAACAAAAACCAAAATTCACCACAAACCCATGAACAAATAACTACCATCCTCTTCACAGCACCATATGACAAAGCACCAACTTCACCATAAACCCAAGTGCTCAACACCAAAACCCCTTCCAAAACATCACATTGCCACCACTTGACCTCCGTGACCACCAATACCCGAATCTTTGTACACTTTTCTACAAGCCCCATCACTAGCTTCACCATGTACCTACCACCAAACAATACCATCCAAACCACCACATCCCCCCACACCAAAAAAAAAAAAAAAAAACTCAATAAATTCAACACAAAACAGCCACCATGCCCACAGATATGACAAAAACCTAAACATTGTAAAGTTCTTATTGGTCCTAAAAATTCAAGATTTTAAAATTGTAAGATAATGCTTTATAGAAATTGAAGAGTTTATGTAGTGAATCAACTCACAATTAGGAGTTCGTTATTCTCTTCGGCATTTATATGCTATCAGTTCGAATTGGGATTAGTTTTATATTTGGATTCGAGCACAAATGTAAGATAAATATGATAATTGACTTGGCTTTTATGAATCTTCAATAATATATAATTTTGTACAATAGTTAAAACGATCTAGATAATAGTTCTAAATGAATTATGACCCAAAATACCATACAAACTAAGCCTACCCCCATCCTATTATGTACCTAAGAAAGTGTAATACCGTATACCCATACCACACACCAAAACGACCCACGATCTAGATAACATTATTCATCTTTATAGGAACACTAACAATCTTGTACAATGTCCTATGCCTTTGATCCATCATTAGACCGTCGATTTTTGCTAACTCAATATTGAGTTGGCGCCTAACCTCGAGAACATCTTGCTTATAGCCCAACTTATGAACGATGTCCGAAAGTTATTTTTCACAGTTTACCACATAATCACCGAGTACTTGGATCATTTGACTGAAGCTATGTGCAATTCCTAACACATTGGTGGCTGTCCAACCCTTCCGTTCCTATATCTTGCTTGGTGGAGAAGGGATACTTTGGCTATAACATCCATATAAGAGATTTGGGGGTTGAGGTATGATTTGGGTAGATAGGAGATATAATTATGGATAAAATGGCCTTTTAAAACCATATCCTGGCTGATTTGAGCCCCCAAAACTATTGTTGGGTGATTTTAGGGATGTGCAAGGTATGGTTCAAGGTCGCGGTATCAGCCATCAACTCGGAAAGCTCTGAAACACATCGGTCGCGGCGTGTTATTGTACGATACGATCTAAAAGAAAATATTGAACATGATGAAAAATTCAAGTCATATCACGGCGTCATGGAACCGTATTAGCCAATTCGGTGACGATATTTTGGCTACTTGTGATTGCTTCAGATACAATTCGGACGACTCGGTCGAGTTGTGCGAGATTTGAGATTTATACGTATCGTATACATCTCCAAATGTGCCGAGACGGATACAACTCGGTCGACTTGTATGAGTATCAACCGATATTTTGAACCATGGTGTAGGGGCCCTAGATGGCACTTATTTTAGAGCCAAAGTGTCCCTTCTCCATCAAGCAAGATATAAGAATAGGAAGGGTTGGACCGTTGGACGACCACCAATGTGTTAGGAATTGCACATAGCTTCAATCAAATGATCCAAGTACTCAGTGATTATGTGGTAAACTGTGAAAAACAACTTTCGGGCATTGTTCAAAGGGTGGGCTATGAGCAAGATGCTGTCAAGGTTAGGTGCCAACTCAATACTGAGTTAGCAAAAATTGATGATTTGACAATGGGTCAAAGGTGTTGGACAACGTATAACATTGCTAGCAATCTTATAAATGTTGATCTCTTCATGAGCTTGCCAAAAACTAAAACATCTTTATTGATTCGAGGCCACAGTTCAAATTATCGACTAATACCGATACGAGTCCACTGAGTCGTATCCGTCTGGTTACCTTTGGAGACGATACCGTTACACGGTATATAAAAATTCTGAGTTTTGCATAACTCAACTGAGTCGTCTGAATTATATCCGAGTTAATCCCAAGTCGCCGAAATATCATCACCAAATTGATCGATACAGTTCCACGACGCCACAATATGACCTGAATTTCTCGTCATATTCAACATTTTCTTTTAGGTCGCATCACTTGATACCCCATCGCAACACCACGACTGATGTGTCTCAGAGCTCTCTGAGTTGATGGTCGATACCGCGACCTTGAACCTTGTTCTAGGCATCTTCTAAGGTAATGGATCAACGATGGAAGACTAAATATATGATTTTCTTTTTTACATGTTATGATATTAAGATCTAGTTATGTTGACCTTTATCACACTGAGCGGGAGCAGGAGCGAAAACGAAGGCGGGAGCGAGAGCCGGGAGAGCGGACAAATTCAAAAAATTCTGAGAGCGGGAGCGCCTTGAAAGTGCCATTACCACATATATAATTATATATACATATATTTATATTATATGAAAAATATGAAAATTTAATTTTTATATATAAATATATGACAAATGAGTTAAGAAAAAAAAAGTATAGAAATCATTTAAACAAAAAAAAGATTAACGAAATTAGTTAAAAAAAGAGTAACGAAATTAGTTAAAAAAAAGTGAAGAGAAAGCATTAAGGCATTGAGGCAATGCCTTTTCTTGTAATCCCAAATCGACAAATGAGGGAAAAGGGCAACCTACAGATGCAATAAAAAGGCTGGGCCTCCTTATTCCATTATGCACTTGTGGCGTAGCTATCAAGTAGCTTCCTTGGCCGGAAATACCTCTAATTGAGGTAAGTACAAAAATGAATTTATAAAAACAAAGAAATGGAGTATAAAAATTTGTTAAAATAATTTTTTATTGTTATTTGTTAGAATTCCTATTTTATTCAAATGAATTAATGAATTCAAAAAAATGAATTCGCGAATTTATAGTGAATTCGCTCCCAAAAAGCGAATTGGCGCACGGAGCTTGAAAGCATGGGGGTTTGTGGGCGAATTGTGTGACTAAGATGTTGACTCTATCACATTTGAAAGTTTTTGATTTCGTTTTTGTATAGAATGGATATTTGGTGTTATTACTTGTTTTTGTGAACGTGGTATGTATGAAACTTTATTATGTGTAGGATTTATGTCCTGACAATGTTTGCTTAATATAATTAAGGTCCACTGTGTAACTAATGTTTGTGTTGTGCTCATATATGATGGTTGTTGTATTGTTCACCACATCTAGTACTTGTGCATGTAATGACAGGCATGACAATGGTAGTGAAGAAGAAATTGTATGTTGTTTTCAATTGCCGAAGGGTGAGAATTGTATATATTTGACAAGAATGTCATTGCCTTGTGAATGGATATCATGGCTCTTTGTATAGATCATTTCCTTTATATGAAGCAGTCAAGGAAGCCTTAATGCAATACATTGTTGCAACAGTCATTGAACGAGATATTAATCCTAGGTCACCACCCAAAGATAAGACTGTGGTTGAACAAAGACCCAAACTAGCACACGCACGAATGCCCATGCATCACAAAATGATTGGGAGTACACCTAATTGCCGAACCAATTCAATTAAATGGAATTATGTCCAATGTAGTATGCTTCAAGTTGGGTTTCATCATTTGCCAAATTTGAAATACTTTTTTGGGGAAAATTATTTGAACATATGGTCATGTAAGATAATGATGATTACCATTATTTTGTTCAATAACTTGGAAAATCATGTATTATGTTGTATGGATCATTACTACTATAAATGTCATAGTAAATGAAACATTACTAACTTGTTTGTTGCTCACTTATTTTTAATGGATGTTATCATTGAAACATGGTTAATAGTCATGCGACAATTGAGACTGACATGAGATGAGGAAGATGTTTTGTTGGATTTTCTGATGCACTTGAAGTTGGAGAGACTGATTAGCAACTTCGGTGATTTCCTCGAAGGGGGTTGATCTCGCTTATGGGACCTAGTAAAGGACTGTAGACAAGAACCACGACTATCCCTAGGCTTTCTAATGGACGTCATTATTTTTTGGAAGAAAAGACATTTTAAGATGAAGGAAATGGAGGCTTCGGGATTATTACATATATATAGCAGTATAAGAATCACTATTTACATGTGTGAATAATTTCAAAACTTGTTTGACACTGCCATAAAATTATGGAGTTCTTGTGTCAGCGGACATGTTTGCAGCTCGGGCTTATGTGAAGAATTGTCCAAATTATGAAACATTCATAGAAATTTTTGGACCACATGGGGATGGCAGACACTTGTCACAAGATGCCATCGAGAGTGTTGGCTGGACTTCATCCAATCCACACTGGGCTCTAGTGTAAGTGATTATCATTGAAGATTAATGTCATGTTTATACGTGGGGGTGTAGGTAGCTGCAATAATGCTTTGTTGTACGGTACAACGGGGATATGTCTATCAGGTATAATTTTTTTATGGATGGACAATCCCCATATTAAATGTTAATGTAAAATTGTGTTATTATGGTTATGTATAATCTTTTATTTCATCAATAGTAAGGTTAGATATCAAAAGTTGGAAAGAAAGAAAAATATAAAATTCATTAGAAACAAAATGTGTAATTAAACAAACATGGGTATGGATTGAATTGGCTAATGGATAATTAAATCAATTATATGAAAAATGTTTGGTGATACTTGTGATCCATTTGTGGGTCCCACATGAATTTATGTCACTTACCAAACAAATAATTAGATAGGGCTTATGTTTGAATCCCATGTAGAAATCTTGGGGTTGGGTTTGAAATAGGGGTGCAACTTGGGTTGGGCAATCCAATTTCAACTCGAAAAAATTAGGACTTGGACAAGGGTTTTTAATACTTGGATTGAGCTTGGGTCAAAAAATTTCAACCCAAATTCAATTTGGGTTGGACTTGGGTTAAGGTTTCGTGAACCCGAGTTCAACCCAAACTCGACAAATTATAAAAAAAAAATTATATATATAAAACATTAGCACTGGTTTTCATTTTTGTTCTATCGTTCTCTGTCTCTCTCGTTCTCTTTGCCTTTCTTGTTCTCTCGGCCTTTCTCGTTAAAAACTTAGTTGAAGTTATTAGTTGTTAATTTAGATAAATATTATGTAATATATGTATTAGGTTTAGAACAACAAGCCTATTTTGGATTCTACTCGAATTGAACCTATAAAGTAACTCGAAATCAGCCCGAAATCATCAACCCGAGCCTGCCCAAATTAAACTCGGACAGTGCTCGGGTTGAGTTCCCCAACTCGAGATGGGGTTAGGGTTAGGGTTGGGATTAAGGTCGAAGATTACATACCTAGGGTTGGGTTAGGGTTGATTGTCCAACCCGCCCGAGTTGAAAACCACCCAAACAGGCCACCATGGGTTTCTTGAAGCCCATATATGAGTTTGATTCCACTGTTTATCAGGGACCATGATCCACTTGGGCTACAAATTCCAAGCCTGAAATATGCAACAAAACATGGGATAAGTTGGTCCATTGGACTATTTTGATCAAACCCATTCTATAAATCTTACCCGAACCCATATACCAAACAGCCCACAAGGTAACTAGGTGATTACCTTTACCTAAGCTTTGAAGGATTCCATAAAATCTTAAATTGTGACTTTAGAGCTTGGACTTCACACTCCTTTACTTTGGTTTTCAACATCATGACAATGGATTTAGTTGAAATATTTACATATGACCTCATGGAATTAGCCAATTACAAAACCAATTTCCTAACATAAACAAAAAGTTAGCACGAGCATAGAAAGAACAAGAAGCAGATTTGGGACAGGAATACACATATATGTTGGGGTGACAATTTTTGACACAATACGAAAATACGACTCGAACTCGACACGAAATTAGCGGGTTAGAGTTAATTATTTCTCAACACGAACCCATAAATGACACGACCTGTTAATACGAATAATAAATAGGTTGGATTTATCAAACACGAACAACCCAAAATTGATACGATTAACACGTTTAACTAATATTATAAAAATAAAATATTTTTGTTATTGTTTATTAAACATTGACATAATTATTGTACAAAAATAACATTTTTACTCATTATTATTGTTATGTTTATTAAGTTAATTTTTAATTTATAGAAAAAGTATGGGCATAGATTCAATTAATTGATAATATAATTTTAAACTTAAATCTTAGCGTTAAGTTCTTTATTTAAGGTTTATGTGGGTCATCACAAATGCAACACAAAAATAAATACGGCACGACATGATTAGTTAAATAGGGTAATTTAGAATTGACTATAATTCGACATGAACCGCAATGATACGACATGAACCCGGCACGATAATTGCCACCCTACACATAAGCACACTTAGAGCTGTTGCATTGCAGAAACGGAAAGCTTAGATCCCCAAAGGTGGGAATCCAGGTTTGAGCATGATGGTGCTTGCTCTGCTTAAATAAAAGTCGATAGCTATGTCTGCACTAGTTTGCCCCTTTCAGCACCCAATAATAGAGGACCACCACTAGGCAATGGCCAATATAGTTATCGGTCTCCATATACTGATGGGTCTAGCATCCCAGTCTTCAGTATAAAACCCAAATTGGTAATTTGTTACATGACTCGAATTCTTACATGAGCCCTACTGTAATCAGTAAACCACTAATTCAATAATATAAAACAGATTAATCGCATAAACGTGTAAGTAAAGAAAATTAATGGAGAGACAGAGAGAGAGAGAGGGAGGGAAGATGATTACGGGGAGACATGGACGTCACGAACTTCACGGCCGTGGGATTTGTAGGTCTTGATGTGAATCCCACGGTGGGGATTCCAGAGGCGAATGGTTCTATCTTTGCCGCAGCTCAGGCAATAATCACCGTTTGCATTGAACCTCGCGGCCAAAACTGCGCCCTCGTGCCCCTTGAGCACGTTAGCCTCCTTCGTCGGCAGATCCTCTACGCTCATCTCCGTGACTCCGTCCCTTTACTTCTCCCTCTGATTCACTTCGCTGAAAGAGTTTTACCTCTTTAGGCGGGAAGGCTATTGTACGCCGTTAGCGTACTTCCTATTGTCGACCGCCGTCACTCTCATTTTATTTTTTTCTGTCTCATTATTAACCCTCGTTTCATAATTTTAAGGAAAAATTGTGAAAACATACGCCCTTTTATATTTATCTTTGTAAAAATATTTTTAATATAAAATATATGTATATAAGTATATTTATTTGTATATATTTGGTGAAAAGATACATTTTTGTTGAATTATAATTTTTTCTTTACTAAATTGTATTTTTCCTTTATTAATGAGAGATAAATATGACAGTTATATAGAGATTCAGTTTCTTAATTTTATGGTATATCTTTTTTGAATTTTAAATTACCTATTCATCTATAATTGAACAACTATTTATTAAAACATTTATTACATATTTTTCATCTATCATTCAAATCAAAAATATCTGTTAATGACGCCCTCCCGCCAATCAATGTCATCATACTATAAATCAAAATGTCACAGTAATACCTTCTAATGAAAATGGTACCAGCAATGACCTATTGTTACTAGCTAAAATTCACACTGTTACCATCCAAAATTCACATTGTTACCATCCAAAAAGTCACACTACATTTATATAATTTTTTTTATTTATGTCTTCCCTAAATTTATATAATTATTTTTATTTTTATTTTTATAAATCGTAATAAGGAATATATGTTTTCGCCTTATATAATACTATTGATTGTTACGAGTGTTTTTTTTTCATGAATATTTTAAATTGAAATATAGTACAATGATAAATGTCACATTGACACATACAACAATGTCACAATGTTACAAGTCAATGTCACATGTTACACACATTTGATACAAACCAATGTCATACTAAAAAGGGTGTCAGTGATGATTTTGATAATAGAAGGAGTGTCCTTAAAGATATAATAAACTAGAAGGGGTGTAGTTAAAATTTTTCCAAAAAATCATTACACCTCTTGTACAAATTCATGGTTTGCGAGCCTTAAAGAAGATGAATCCTCTCAGAACCCTCCTTTTTCATGTTTCTACAGTCCACGACCCTCCTTTGCGGTCCACTTCAATATTGAGAATGTTTGGAACCTTGTGTTTCAAATCCTTAAAGAGTTTTGCAATCTCGATGAGTCCTCTTGCTCGGAAACAAAAAGAGTTGGACTCCGTTAATATTTTGATCGAGAGTTGATTTTTCAATAAGAAAAAATCGTTTAGATCCATTGGAATTAGGACGTTTTGAAAAGAATGGAGGTTTAGGGAAGTTTTCTTATCAATCTTGGAATAATGGAGTTTCGGCGATATTGAACGAGTTTTACGGGTAACAGTTGATATCCCTGATATTTTGGTTGTGGAGGCAAAAATATAGGAATCGGTTCCCATTTTACTGAAGGAGGTATCTTAGAAATTTGTTAGGAATTGTGTACTTTTTAACCTATATATTTTTAAAAGTGGTACTTTTTGCCCTATAATTCCTAAAAACGACACAGGCCCTTAAAACCCTAGTATTAAAAACCGGCCTAAACATCAACCCGGCAAAGTGACCAGGTTAATGAGCAATTGGTTCAACCGTTGGGTCACTGGTTCAATCGGTCATATAATAAAAAAATAAAAAATATTAATATGCACCGTAAAAATATTAAAAAAGCCATAAAAATTAAATGACTCCCTGATTTTATATTTATTTTGATTTTTTGATCCAATATTTGTGCACACCGTCATTGTCTAATGCAAGTGAGATCAAAAGCATGGTGTTAATTAAGAACTCAAAAACAAGTACAACCACCAGCAATAATATCCCCAAATAGAACCACCAACAACAATATCCTCAAATCGAACAACTAGCAACAATATCCCCAACTCAAAAAAAGTGGAGTTAAATAATTACAAACATAAAGGAGGAAGATTACTTTCTATTCTCTTGCCTTGCTACCACTAAGAGAGGAAATATCACAAAAATCTCCAGTCTACTGTGTGACTTGTAAGAGAGAAGGAGATGTGATGCACACAAAAGTCCTATTGAAGTGCAAAGGTTTTACCACCAAGTTGGGTCACAAAGAATAAAAATAACAAAAGAGATCAAGGTCCAAATTTATATGCAGATCCAGATTTATGCTATGCCTTACTTGAGGAAAGGAAATCCATAGAGAATGAAGGAAGGATATCCTTTGACTTCGATTGTGAAGCAGCAGGTACATCAATAAATCTGAATCGCTTTGAGGAAATCCATGGAGAATGCCTTACCTGCTACCTTTGACTTCGACTGTTCAACGGTGTGAGGCTTTCGATTGTTCAGAATTCGATTGAGTTGTAGCAAAGAGAGAGAGAGAGAGAGAGAGAGAGAGAGGTGTAAGGCTGTCATATCTTAGACGTTAGTGAGAGGTAGAGAGCACAAAAAGATTTAGGGCAAAAAATGCCTAAAAGGGCCAAAACCTTGGTATTTATATCTTTTTTATTGATCCGACCGGTTTATTACAAACCGTCCGATTTGAACGGTTTGCTCAAGAACTGGGCGGTTCGTCCGGTTTCTTCCGGATTTTGTGTCTAAATGATCCAATACAAGAACCGGCCCGATTTAGGCTCCGGTTCACTAGGTTACCGAATCAATCTGTCGGGCCAGGCCGGGTTTTAAAATAATACCTCATTTGTTCCTTTAAAGGGTTTGTTGGAATTGATACATCTTTATTAAGTATTTCGAAATTACGAAAAATATAATTTATATAATAAAGTAGAACGACGTTTAAATTCAAAAAATAAAGAGAGGTCCAGATTATTTTAAGATAAAACATAGACACATTGAACGGATAACGTAATCCTAACATAAAAAACGGTTCAAATCATCTCAAAAATTTTGATCTAACGATTTACAATAATACTAAATTTTATTTTCCCGTCCAACAACATTTCCTAACTCATGTCTTTCTCTCCTCCAAAATCTCTTAAATCCTTCTCCATCCTATTCAAAACTCAAATCCTGCTCATTTTAGCTGTAAGAACAAAGCATCCCAAGCACAAGCCAAACTCTCCCTCTCTCCTCTGCGGATAAAGACATAACTGAGGTCCTTATCTCCTTCTCTCTCGGTCTCTCACTGATCACTGTTACACTTTTCACTCTCTCAACTCTATAACATTGATTAGGATGGGAAGGTATTTGATTTTAATTCAATAGCTTCTACTTATCCTTAAGAACACGCGTCGCGTTCCCATCTACATTTAAGAGTAGAAAGAAGAGACTGCCCAACCAACCAAGAAGAAGAAAAAAAATAGTAACAACAGGAGGAGGATGACATTTTCTACCAAACCAATCATCATCATCATTACTATTCAAGTTCTCCTCCTCTTCATACTTGCCGCCGCTTCATCACTCTCATCTCCGGTGCTGGTGGCATCGTCATCCGATTCAACCACCGCAGCAACAGACCCAACTCTGACCCCGTGGCCCCACCAATTCCACTCCATTCTCTTCGTCAACTACAACGTCAGCTTCTCTACGATCTCGAATGGAACAACGACACTTCTTTCTTCTACACTTTGGGCTCCACCCAAACGTGTAGCTCCGCACAGCTCGAGGTTGGGATTCTTCGACCTAATTGGCTCCACGGGCCAACTATCTGGGTCAGCAACATGTGGAGAAAATGGGAGATAACCTCCCCTTTTTTAATCCTCTCTGTTCTTTTGTTTTCTTTCTTACAGGATAATCACACACTTGACTGATTTCTCAATCTATTTACAAGACACACACTGGTGGTTTGGACAAGTGTTAATTTGTCTTTCTTTAAGTTAATTTTTTACCAAGCTTTGCTGTTTTCCTTATCTCATTGATGGCTAGCCACCATTGCAAAAGCTTCCATGATCATTTTTTTTTCTTTATTAGATCTATTTCCTAGACAGACACAATAGCAAATGCCTATTTTTCGTCTCTAACTGTTCACAGTATGGACAGACTTCTATTTTGTTCTATTTCTATACAAAAAATTTGGGTGCCGTCTTCATCATGGTTCGACGACAAGGTGATCACTTTTAAGGATTTGTATATCAATGTTGGTTTTACATCTATGGGATGATCTGATGATCCTTTTGAATTGAATGGTTTTGATATGTAAATTTTTTATTTTCAAATCACTTCCTTAAGAAATTTTATGAGAACTGCTATTAATTTCAATTCAATTTTTCCTTTGTTTTTTTTGGTTCGTTGTTTGTTTGAGTTCTATTTTTTACTTACTGACTTTTTGTGTTGTAGAGTGTTTTTAGGCATAGGCCAATGTTGCCCATCACTAGGTACTGTGTAAAAATCTAAGGCAATACCCGTTCCATCAGTAACGTAAGCGTGCTAACCCATTGAAATTTGTTTGTTCCAATTTCAGTGGGTTAGCATGCTTATCTTACTGTTCATGACTGCAGAGGAAAATATGGACATTAATTAATATGTATATGTAATGTATTTATGTATGGACCAATCTTTGTATGGCATGGTTTAAGTATTTGAATGCTATAGTGGATGTTATATTTCAAGCATATTATTCATTCAATTGGTCAGTGAGCTTTGATTTTTTAACATTTGGTGAGCTTTGCTTTATTTTTTCTTGCCAAGTGTTATCTCTTAATAAACTTTCCTTTGATGCTTAAAGGGATGATAAAATGAGTGCAAATGTGGTTCTTGGACGCTGAACCATGTGAATATAATGTGCAGAAGAAAATAGAAAAGGAAGGGTATGTATGAGAAAGTTGAATATATAATTCTTTAAAAATACATTTAAAAAGAATTTGTTGATTTATAGTCTTAACTTTTTCAATGAAATCTCAAGTGTTTTTATTGAGAATTTTTTTGTGTTACATAGTGCCTTCAAGCACAAGCATTTATGAGTTTGTCTATATAATAAAATAGAGCTGAGTTTGAATCTAAGAGATAAAGAGATGTCCAAATCGTTTTGAAATAAAACATAAACACATCCAACGGACAACGTAATTTCAACATAAGAGACAGTTCAGATCATCTCAAAAATTTTAATCTAACAGTATACAGTGATTATTGAATACTGAATTTTATTTTCCCGCCCACCTCTCTCTCTCTCACTTTTGTCTCACTCTCTCACGCCTCTCTCTCTCATTTCTACCTCCCTCTCCCAATCTATCACGCCTCTATCACATGGAATCCACCTCAAATCTTCTTCTAATATCAAATCTCACTCATAATAGTCGCATTAGGATGGCTACGGTAGTGAGAGAGACAGACGAAAGGCATAGACACAAAACACACACGTCAATTTGATTTTGATCCTTGATTCAAGATTTTGTTGACGATTGAATCTGCTGCTATCTTGCCTCCGTCTACTAACCTCAACTAGGTATGTTTAAGTTTTATTGCTTTCATACATATTTTTTTTGATCTGCAAGCTATGTAGTTTAAAAATACTTGACTGTCAACAACTGCTCGATGAAATGCCCAGCTCGATTGACTCACCCCCAAACAACTACATATTTGTCCATATTGTCTCTGAGGTCTCAGTTGGGCTCATATGATTCGAGAAGTGATCAAAGTTCTTGATTTGGTTTCTAAAGATTGAAAAATACATATCTTTGAATCTCTTCAACTCAATGCTTGATGTTCTCATTAAGGAATATATTTTCTTAAACGAATTTATCGAGAAAAGGTGAAGGAAAGGGTGTTTTAGGTTATGTATTTTTATGGGATTTTATGAAAGGACTTTGCTTGACTAATATAATTGCTTATGAATGTAATCACAGCCCAGCCAACGTTTTGGACGGCTACAGTACATAGAGAGACAAACGAAAGGCATAGAGAGAGGAGAGGAGAAAGACAGACAGAGAAGAACCTCTATTTCAGGTACGCTTTGGATATTCACATTTTTGTGTGTGTATGTATTATGCTTATATTTTACGTTTGAGATCAGAGTTTTTGTTGAACAGGAGATTTTTGTATATACGTATGTATTGTGCACAAATAACCTCTGTTTTTAGTCTCTGTGTTGCGAATTTGTGAATTCCTTTGTGTTTGAAAATTTGTGTTTTGGATAGGAATTAGTGACTGAGGATATATAACCACAAAAAACATTGCCAAACAACTCATAGAGGCAACTAAACAAGCATGTTAGATAAGAGTCAGCTTTCTATCTTCATTTCAACTAAGTGATATTTATCATCATGCATGAGATAACAAAACAAACCTCTTCTCCCAATGATTTGCACTAAAGAGGAGATGGATTGCATAATCATCTAGCTGCGACTTATTGGAGAGATATAAGGAAATCGTTTGCCCAACACCAGTATTTCTATCAAGAAACCGCCATGATTCAACTGGATACCCTAGCCGTTTCAAATACCCTAGCCCTATTCTAGGTGTAATTTAATTTCTACCCTGTAATCATAATATTTTTATTTCAGACCAAAGCATCAAAACCATATGTTTTCAGATGAAATTCTAAAAAAATATTGATAATTATTTTGTTCCGTTTTGGGTTTGGAAAAAAATTCTGTGAAGCTGTATAAATATTTAGGAAAATTTGTAAATCCTAAAATTTTCATGCTGTTTATTTTGTTATTCACAAGCTTCCCTGTGAATTAAGTAACAAGTAAATAATGCTACCTTTTTATTTTATTGGTAGTTCAGTTCAGAGAGACAATGAACTAAGAATAACCAAAAGCTACACAATATAGACATCACAAAAGAAACAAGTCTCAACACAATATCCTAACACTATGAGGTATATACTGCATTAGTAGTAGAATTGCTCATAACATATAGCAAAACATACATCATAATTTATTGGAAGCATTGTAGCATTCAAGAGTAGAAATTTGGGCACCGAATCAATCCGTTCTCATTGCAATTCGAGCACCTCTTCAATTTCCCTTCCTCTTCCTTAAACACTTTTCGAATTCCATTACAATTTAGGCACGACACAAACCTTGCATCCCCACAACTGTCACAAACAATCCCTGGATCTTGAGTTGGGAATCCTTCCAAAAGCTTTGCCAACTCTCCAACCTCATGAAGTTGCTTAATCTCATCCACACCACCAATATGCTTCCCTCTAATAAACACCTGTGGCAAACTCATAGCCTTCCCTCCCAATACACTTTGCAATTCCTTCCTATACATTGAATCCATACATATGTCCCTTTTATCCACAAACACCCTAAAGCCCCTAAAGATTTATCTTAATCACAATAACAATGGATATAGAGCAATGATAAATGTTCATTCACCCAATCTATATATTAGGAGATTTATCTTAATCACGAATCAATCTATAAATGTTCATTCATGTTTCTCCAAATGAGTTCTTTATCCATGTTAAATTGAAAGAATAACCTGAAACAATCTCAATCATAACATCTTGCAATTAGATGCCCGTGAAAAAAAAAATAGCAGTTGGAACAGTCACTGTTCACGTGACTGTTCAGCTGCTGCCCTCAATTCATTCAAGACAACATATCCTCTCTCTTTCCAGCTGTTACTTCTCAGCTATTAAAGTGCAACTGAACCATTGTTTCAACTGACATGTCTATGTATTTCAGCTGGAATTTCAAGCAGGCTGTTTTGTTATTGGTTTCACATGTCTTAGTCTTTCACACATCTAATTTTTGTTATTGGTTTCACATTGCTACCTCAACTATCATTCACTTTCAAATCGTACTTTTCTTTTTAAGAAATATATTTTTACCGAAAAAGCTTCCATCCTCCCAGTGTGAACAACTCCATGAAATACTACATACAACATGTCAGTTAGAGTGCAAACAGTATCAAACAACAGATTAGGCCTGTCTTTTGATCTCATAGTAATCACTATGTAATCCTTTTCAATATAATCAAATATTGTCACATGAGGTCTTGAGCCCTTATCGTCAATTCTCCCACATTCAGATTTGTTAACCTTTTCATAGTCCCGATCAACAAGCATGATTTGATGTAATCTTCTCTCCCTATGCGTAAATAAGGAGGTGAAAGTGTCATTTTTGTTGTCTTCAAGTCATTGTTTCCCTTAAGAATATTACAAAGCAATTCCTTTATTGTGGAGAGCCGCTTTGTATCATCAATTGTACACCCTATAACATCATCTGTCACATGAATAATAGTTGTAGCTCTAGCATTATGTGTCCATATTTCAACATTCACCACATTACAATGAAGGTTAGCAAGAACCGCACATACTTCAAACAATAAAGCAGGTCTGTCTGTTCCGATTAGTTCAATTGAGGCGTGCTCCTCAGATGGCATCAATCCAACAGAAAAATTGAGTTGAGTTTATAATTATGTTTTGCTACACCGCCACTATCGCCGTTGTCGTTGCGACCCCCACTGCCCCCACCACCCCACCGCCATCGCCGTCCCCACCGCCACTGCCACCATTGCCCCCACCGCCACCATCACCCCCACCCCCACCACCGTCGCCTCCAATGCCACCATCGCCTCCACCACCACCATCACCACCGCCACCACAGTCATTGCCACCCCCCACAACCATCACTGTCTCTTACCACCACCACCACTGTCGCCCACCACCTCTCACTCCCACTACAAATCGATGCTTAAATTCCTTTATCTATTCTCTATGTTTGTGATTTAATTTTGGATATAAATACAAATATGTTTATTATTTACTATTTTTTATTTTTTTGTGCCTTCATGCACATGCAATAACTAGTATTATTATATCATAATAACTGTTACAATTATTTTATTATTGGCTACTATTTAAGTTTTGGATAAACAATCTTGACTGTTGAGTTACTAGGATTTTAATATCATAATGAATAATTATAATATCAGTTTTTTTCACATACTCACTTTTAAACCTACAATGAGTGACCTTTTGTTTTCTCTTCCACAAGTAACTCTATTTATCTATTCTCATTTTGCATCAATTTATTAACCAAACTCTCCAAGAAAGATGAAAGTAATCTAGAGAAAATGAATCATTATTGGTTGTTTTAGCTTTCTATCTTCCTCATATTCGACCTGGTTAAGATAATTTTTTTTATAATAGTATATATGTATTCTCTTTCTTTTTTTTTTTTTTTTGATACAAATGTCAAGATCACCATATCTATGGCTCACATCCTTGAAAAGAATTTCTCTTTACTCCAATATGCTTAGCTTGGAGTTTCTTGAAGCTGACTTGAGTGAATATATGGATGCATGAATACATATTTCTTGTGGTTTCCATGTGAAATCTTAAATGATTTGTGTCATTTTTACCTGTGTAAGAGGTGTGGGCACTCTTATTGAGATTTACTGTTTTCATACAAATCAAAACTTATATATGCTATTAGTAGCTTCATTTTATTACATTCAAAAGGTTATGTTTGATACATTTGAAAACATTAGTTAAAAATTGGATTGTAATTCTATATCTTGATTCATAAACATATATTCGTTAACATAATTGTAGTTGTTTTTTAAATAAGAAACGCTTGTTACACACTCACTTTATTCATTTGACTCTTGTAGTAATTTCAAGCATGTCAAATTCCAAGCCATATGACCTTCTTTACTCAAATAGGTGTGATGTTCTTATCGTGATTATTCAGGCGATTGTATAGAGGCATAAAATTACCATGGAATTTTTTTATATACCTTAGAAATCAAGGACTTAAATAATTTTTCTAGAGTAGTAATTCATAATGTACAAAAGTGTTTATGTAAAATTAGTCAAGTATGTAATTGAGCATATGATGGGGTTTGCTCAACACAATCAAACACACAAATTAGGTAGTTCGATCTGAGTGACCTACTCCACAAGGAATGACTATAGTGGTCAAAGAGTTTTACTACTCAAAGTGTGTAGAGTGCTGAGATGACTGATACCCCTATATGTAGACGGGACTTACAACTTATAGGCAAGTAAAGTTTCATAACGGCTCCGAGAGAGCCCCGATTGAGGCGTCATTCTTGTAATTGGGAACAAGGTGGTTCCGTGAGGCCAGCGACATTCCTGTAACGGGCGAGGTGATTACATGACGTTGGCGATGTGCACCCCGATGACTACATTCTACAGATTCCTTTCCTAAAATGGAGATCCTGACGTGCACTAGTAATAGATTGGGTCTTTCGGTGGGCTTGACCCAACTAAAATTATGACTGAGCCTTTGTTGGTCTGCATCTGTGATTTGGCCCTAGTTTGCATTTATGATCTAGACTTGGTCTGGGCTGGGCCAATCATTTGCCCCCATGCCCAGAGTATAATGGGATTTGGGGGAGAGGGCATCTGTAAGAATAAATTTTATTTTCTACTTTTTTACCTTTCATTTTGGGTATCAATTGTGGTAACTTTCAATCATTCTCGTTCTCCATGCCTCCTCTTGCCTCAAATTCTTTCACTTCATAAACAGTTGTGGTTATTGTTTTAATCTTTGTATGGGAAACTTGTCTTCATTCTCTATTAGTGACAAATACCTAAGGCTTTAAATAATACCCCCATATACTTATTTGAGGATGCAAGGAGAAAGGTGAGATGTCGAGTTGTGATGAGAGGGAAATGTGTGACGCAAGAAGCGATGCTCTAGCAACAGGAGGCACGCGGGCGCCGGGAGGCAAGGCACTGGAGGCATGGGTAGTGGAAGACGAGGCACTAGCATGGACGGCGAGGCACTGGGCACGAACAATGGGTGTAGGCGCTAGGGCGAGGTATGAGTGTCGTTTAGAGGCGCGCGGGCACTAGCGGGAGGTGATGGCGACAAAAGGGATGAGAGTCAATTCTTGGTGCACAAACTAATGCAATCCCATGAGGCGCAGATGGCCCGGAATCTGAGGGCATTCCTAAAGGTGGCAGAAACAATGTTACCCAGCGTCTATAGTGACATAAGCATCACAAAAAAAGTAGTTGTTGATGATGACGGTTTCAAGGTGAGCACTATTTCCAGTACCATCAATATTGATGTTGTAATTGTTAGCATTGTCTCTGCTTTTTGTATTCTCCTACTATGTTGTAAGTGTCCACGACCACTACGTCGAGGACTCTAATAAGGGAGAGGTAGGGCTGTAGAGAAGGAGTTGAGGGAGGTTCGCAAGAGAGTTACACCTCTTGAGGCCAATCTTTTGGCATCTCATGAGAGAGCCGCTAAGCTGGAGACTAAGTCTGAGGCTGCTTGCACGAGAATAGAGGCAGAGTTGTAGGTAGCTCACGAGAGGACTACAAAAGCTAAAGTAGAGCTACGGGTAGCTTATGAAAGGGCTGTCTGAGTTGAGGTAGAGCTATGGGTAACTCATGAAAGGGCTACTAGAGTAGAGGCTAACTCCTCTAGAGGATGGAGGTTGTAGAAAAGGCTATCTATGACCTACAAGATAGCGTCGTGGGCGCTTTTATTGATGGCTACAAGGAGTTCAAGGGGACTCTTGAGGTTTGTGTCACCTGGCTTTGGTAACGTCCTGGGCGTTCATGTATTTTTGGGTTTTTGATAATAATTCTGGCATGCTCTTTGGCAGCACTTCAAAACTGAAAATAAAAAATTGGATGAGCACAAGTCTCTTATGAAGCTAGTCATTAACTTTGTCATCTAGTTCTTCAATCTGGAGGACCTCCTCGTTAAAATAAGGTAAATCTTTAGGCTTCCATCCCAGTCTTGCTTGATGTTGAGCAAGTGGGTAGCAAACTTCTGGTGTCGGAGTCCCCTTATAAAGTGGGAGACAAAGGATTTGTTTAGTTCAACAAAAGAATCAATGGAAGTTGGTCTGGGTCTGATGAACCACTAGCATGTAGATCCCTTGAGGGTGGTAGAAAAAGCCCTTCACATAATTTCGTCTGGTATGTTATGCGGCTGCATGAAGGGTTTATAGGTTTTAAGGTGGTCTAGTGGATCTTTTGAGCCATCAAAAAATTCCACAGTTGGCATTTTAAACTTTGGAGGGAGGGGGTAGTTGGCCACATCAGCTTTGAATGGCGTGTTAGCATGCCTCACAAGGTATTCGAACATTTTTGACCCTTACACCTTCATGACATTGAAGAAGTCACCTAGTTGGTTCTGTACTTTCTTGATTTTTTTGTCCTAATGGTTGGGGACACCCTCATAAGGGTTGTTATAGTGGCTTTTCATGATCCACATGCTTGTTTTCCCCTCTTCTTCTTTGAATGGAGGGTCTCTAACATGGGAGGATAGAACAGGCGCATGAGGAGGAGGATTCGGGCTCCCTAGCACTAAGGTGGGGCACCTTGGTATTCTAGGTGAGGCATATGGGGTGCTAGAGCACAGCTCCTCGAGGATGCCCAACAATCATCAATTGAAGGAGTTGTTGGTTTTGGTTTACCAACAACTATATAGTCTCTAGTAATTGTGGTTCAGAGACGTGGTTTGTCGGGGGGGACCTCATCATGACATATTTGATCATCATCATCCCGTTGTTCATTCATGGATCTAGTTGTAATAGCTAGAATCGAGAATATAATAGGGTGAAAACTAAATCCTTCCCACATAAAGCACCAAACTAATGATGTACAAAAGTTTTTATACAAAATCAGTCAAATATGTAATGGAGTATGTGATGAGGTATGCGCAACACAATCAAACATACAAATTAGGTGATTCAGTCTAAGTGACCTACTCCACAGAAAATGACTATACTTGCTGGAGAGTTTTATTACTCAAGGTGTATAGAGTGCTGAGAGATGAGTGATGCCCCCCCATGTGTAGGAGGGGTTTACAATTTATAGGCAAGTAAAGTTACACAACGGCTTCGGAGGAGCCCTGATTTAGGTGTCATTCTCGTAATGGGGAGTGGGGTGGTTTTGTGAGGTCAACGTCATTCCTGTAACGGGCAAGGTGATTCCATGAAGCTGGCAATGTGCACCTCAATGACTGCATTCCACGGATTTCCTTTCCTAAAATGGAGATTCCCACGTGCACTAGTAATAGACTGGATTTTTTGGTGGGCTTGACCCAACTGAAATTGTGTCTGAGCCTTTATTAGTTTGTATTTGTGATCTAGACCTAGTTTTCATTTGTGATCTGGGCCTGGTTTGGGTTGGGCCCATCACTAATAAATTAAAAAAGGACAATTAAATGGAATTGAAAAACCGTAATGAGCATAACCAAACAGAAAGATTTTATTGAATGTTAATACTTGAATAAAATTAAACATAACAACCAAAATGGCAACATAATTATAAATAAAGCAGAAGGAAAGAATATGAAATTAAACAGTGCAGAAACATGTCTAGTATGTTGTTTGTAGGAGTGTTTATCTTTGATCTTTCCTTCTGGCTTATTTTTTTGCATTTATGGACCATGATTTCTAATTGTTGAGGTCATCCTTTCCAGCCACATAGTTTGTACTTAAGGCCTCTCTCTGCAACGGCTATAAGGTGTTTCCAACTCCCTGGAACCGATGATTCCACGTTGTCACACTCTAGAACGTCTCTTCATTCTTCAGAGATCTTGTACATAACCATCAAACCTCTAAAATCCTATATTGACCCCAGCCTAGTCGTTGGATCATGTCATATATCCATTTTCATATTTTGGTATAAACCATTCCCCCTCCCACCTGAAACGATGTGATGATAAGCCTTCTTTTCAAGGTGTCATTTTGGTTTTTTGAATTTGAATTGTTGTCACTTTAATCTCACCATCTTGTTGTCACCCTTTGATTGGTTACATTGTACAATGCGTATGACCCTCAGTCCACATGTGATCCCTCGCCATTTTTCCATCTTTACAAGTTTGCAATGAATGATTGGCACACAATTTGATCATATTCTTTCATCATTATGATGATTCGCCTGATGCATATATATTTCTCATTAGACTTGATTCTCTCAATATTTTTGGATTAACTCCTGATCTTCTTTTCTTTGACAACGACGTCTTTGTCTAACTCTTATTCTGCTTCCTTTCAAGAGGCACTTGCCAAAGTCTCTTAGAAAATTGATTATTCCACTTTTATTCCAAATGTCGATGTTTCTTCTAAAATGATGGGCCTTGGTCTTGCCTTTACTGATTTTCCTTCAACTTCCATTCACAAACATTACCCTACTTCTAGCGACCCTCACCCATTTAAACGAGGCAAACTACTATGATGGACTACACTAGAGTGCACTACAAAAACCATATCTGTGAATGTAAATCTCCTTCTACCGAATGAATTTCATGGGTCTCAAGTTTGACGGTTTCCAAAGGCAATTTGTGGCAATGTCTTGGCATATATGACGCCATAGATCTTAGCACCATCTTAGAGGCCCTACGCCGCTTCATTTAATTGTTCTATCATAAAGAAAGGGAATGAAAATTATAAACAACCCTTTTCATATTTGATGTGGCATGATGGCTCCTACCATTTATTACATCTTTGTTCTTCTCAATCTCCCTCCTGTTGGCTTCGAGGTCAATGCCCTGATTTCTTATGTGGATAAGACTTATTATCTTCCGAGCGACTTCCAGGATAAATGTGAGACCCTGGCATGCATTGCATGAAATTTTATATAATGTTTAGGGTCTAAGGTGTAATTTTTTTAAGGGCTAATCACAGTTTGCAACCTAAAAGATGCTTAAATTTTCAATTTGCACCCTGAATGCCACAAAAACGATGCACTATGCAATAGTCTCAAACGTTAGTTCGATTAACCATATGAAAACCCAGCACATAACTTGCATGTGATTCTTGTAGGGATTGGATTGTAAAAACACTCTCCTTTTCCTCATGTGAGTAGCACATGGTATTGGTTCATCTGAAAACCCCCTTTCTCATTCTCAAATAAAGAGAGAAACAAAGGATCAAAAAATTATGGATAGAACAATGTTTAAACTTCATCTTTGATATTTTTCGTGGAACACAATCGAAGCTGCTAACCTTGGAGATCAACCAAATGTCTTGGGTTGTAAGGGAGTACAACTGTGATATGCCCCTTAGACAGGATTCACCAATTTATGGTGAGAATTTGTTTGTTTCCTTCTGGAATGGTTCCATATTTTATGGTGTGCTTGTGTTTTTTCTATTTTTTAAGTGATTATTTTCAAAGTCATAAATGTATTTTGTGTTTGTGTGGGCCTGAGTTATTTGCTTTTATGTGATTTGATTTGTCAGCAACAAGTAATGTGATTTGTGTGGGTTGATTTTTATATTCAAGTGTTGAATATTAAAATTCTTTTTTGTATAAGTAGGTATTTGTTTATGCAGAAGCTGACACATGTTATTTTACAATAAAAATGCATCATAGTGGTAAATTTGAGGGTTATGGTGACAAAGTTTACACATGTGGGAGATTGAACCACTTTGATATGTGTCATGTTGACCAAATATCTTTGATATAGCTAAACAACATGTTGAAAGATGTTGGAGTAGGTTATTCTGAGATTGCAAAATACTATCATAGAGCTATTAAAGGGTGGAGGGTGTTGGAAAATGATTAGCATGTCATGGGACTTGAGAAGTGGGCAAATAGTAACAAAGTGTTTGATCTATATGTGGAACACAGTAAGACTTGTATGTTAAATCCTAGTCAAGTTGCATCAACTTTTGGTAATGAGGTAACATCTAAGAGTTCTTCTGATAAGGATGTATTTGACAGTGAAGATTGCTTACAGGTTGAGTCTTCTAAGTTTGAATATTTTTATGATAATGAATATGATGTGGAGAATTCCCAATTGTATGAGAATGCAGTTGATGGTGATTCTAACTTTGTAGGGAAGGGCAAAAGGGTTGAAAGTAACAAACAAAAAAGGGATCAAAATGTTAAGGCAATATAAATGAACAATGACAGTGGTTTAGGAGGTGAAGATTATGAGTCTGATGAGCTACAAAGCCTTAGTGGCTCATCTGATAAAGATGAAACAGGGGGTGAGAGGGTTAAGTATCCATATTTCAATGCTAAGGTTGATATGGTTGACCTATAGTTTAAGTTATATTTAAAATTTCAACTGAGTTTAGGGTAGCAGCGAGACAACATGCAATCAAAAAAGGGAAGCAAATACGATTTGCAAAAATGAGAAGTATAGAGTGAGGGCAATTTGAAAACTAGGTTGTGATTGGATGATATATGCTTTAAGAATGGGTTCAGAGATGACCATGTAGGTAAAAACTTACGTTGGTAGACATAGTTGCAATAGGAATTTTAAAGTGAAACATGTCAATACTAAGTAGGTTGCAAGTACATAAATTGACAAAATTAGATCAAACCCAACGTGGCCCATTAAGTCACTGAAAGAAACAACTCTGAAAGAACATGTAGTGAAGTTACATCCCAATTTAGTATATAGAGCCAAACATAAAGCAATGACAATGGTGAATGGGACTAATAAAGAACAATTCAGCATGTTGTGGGATTATTGTGAGAAGTTAAGGAGAACAAACATAGGGACCACTTCCATTATTAAAACTAAGTTTGTAGCAGGAGATCAATTTATGTTCAAAAGGTTATATGTATGTTATGTTGTATTGAAGAGGGGATTATTTGAGGGATGTAGGCCATTAATTGGAATAGATGGATGTCATCTGAAGGGCCCATAGGCTGGAATTTTGATTGCAGCAGTGGGAATTGATGCCAACAACCAAATGTATCCATTTGCATTTGCTTTTTTTTTTGGAAGGACCATTTACATTTGCTTTAGTTGAGAAAGAAACAAAAAAAATCTTGGGCATGGTTTCTTCAACTTATTAAACAAGATCTTCAAATAGTGAATTCACATACATGGACTTTCAATATGCATGATGGAATCAAATCCTCCTTTAAGTGTTGGATCTCTTATCTCAATTAAGAGCAGTCATGGAAAGAACAGGTTGAAAATCACGATCAATTCCTTTTTCAAATCCTGATGTACCTTGCTCTAAAGGGTTCCTGATCTTTCATGCTAACTTGTAGTTTGTTGGCTATCATTACGATAAGAACATTTGTTTTTTTGTGAAATCCTCGTGAATCTGTTATGTAATGAACCCTTTGGAGTGCTTGTGGATGGTGTGCCACATGGGTACTTTGTATCTTCTCGAGGGCTGCGACAAGGGTTTCAAACACAGCCTATTGATTTTAGCGGAAGAAGTGCTAAGCCGGGGCCCACAAGAGTTGGTATCATTGAAAATTATAACACCTTACCATCGTGCCAAGCACTCTATCACTTTATCTTTGTGAACAATGTTCTAATATTATATAATATAATGACCATAAACGAAAAAAAAACTGATTGAAATGTTGTAATGGCCAAAAGGTCAATTTTGATAAGAGCCAGTGCTTCCTCTCGAATAGAGCTCCTCGCAGAAATTTCAGATCATTGAAAAGGAATCCAAAAAAATAGTTTTTAGATAAACAAAAGGCAAGTATCTAGATCCTTTACTTTTCAATTCACTTATGGCATAAATGAAATTAACATTAAATGTTTTATGTGCTAATTATACCACAAATGTTGTTGGGACTATTGGATGCAGTGGAAAGCCTTTTACCAAATGCTGAATATAGGTTTTGTGTAAGGCATTTGTGTAGTTACTTCAAAATAGAACATAAGGGATTAGTTCAAGAGGATCTATTATGGAGGGCTGCTAAATCAACAACAATAGTTGATTTTAATAATGTTATGGGGTGTTAAAAGGGCTTAATGTGTCTGCTTATAATTGGTTGTCTGATAGACCACCTCCCAAAGAATTGGTCTAGAGCATACTTTAGTACCTTCCACAACTGTGATATGTTGCTGAACAATATGTGTGAGAGCTTTAATGGGTGTATTGTGGAGGTTAAGGAGAAGCCTATTATTACAATGCTTGAAAAAATAAGAATTTGGTTAATGGAGAGGTTACTTCTGCAGAGGGATTCTATAAAGAAGTATAAATGGAGTATTTGTCCTAACATTCAACAAAGATTGAAGCTCATCAAAGTGACATCAGCTGGGTTCATACCAATCTTGAATGGGGATGATAAATTTGAAGTAGTTGGGATTTATGGTGAACAAAGGACTGTTAATGTGAAGGATAGGACCTGCAATTGTAGGAAATGAGATTTAACTGGAATCCCATATATGCCTACAGTATCTACACTCTGTTATCTAGGATTAAACGTAGAAGACTATGTGGCCGAATGGTGCAAAGTGGAAACTTTTTTGAAGTGTTATTGCTACCTGTTGAGTCTTATTAATGTAAGGGACATGTGGCCTAGGATAGGTTACTCACTTTTAATTCCTCTTACTATAAGTCGGATGCCTAGAAGGCCTTAGAAAGCTAGGAGAAGAGAAAGAGATGAACCATCCAATTGTAACATATTGAAGAGAAAATATAAGCTGATTGTGTGTTCAAGTTATGGTCAAATTGGTCATAACAAAACACAGTATAAAAGTGGTGTTTGCTGGTTTGTTTAATGGTCAATAAGATAAGGGAAAAGCAAGTAGGTGAATGGGTGACAATCTATTGGGTTGTGGCATGTGCTTTACATGCATAAGTCTTGTATGGTGTGTACTATATGAAGAAAAAATGGGCATAATCATAGGAAAAGAAAGGGAGGAAGCATGACTGAAGGAGGCGACTACTCAATGAGAAACAAGGGAGGAAAAATTACCAGGAAATAAAAGGGAGGGGGAGTGAATTCTTCACTGCAAATCAAAAGGTAAAATAGTTCCCTAATTGTAAGTTTTTTTTTTGTTTCTTTCCCAAAAATATATTGTTGAATTAGGGTTTTGCTAATCATGGTTTGATCCAAGTAGTTAGAAATCTTAGTTATGCTTTTATCTTCTTATTGTAGTTGGAACTTAATTTATTAAGGTAAATTGGTTTAAATGTTTAAGGTTGTGCTTCGATATTTGAAAGTACTAGCATAGTACGAAAATCTTAATGGGTGTAGCTATTGGAATTAAGGATATTCATGTAGGAAATATTTTTAAAACTTGTTTTAAATTGTGGGGAAGAAGTGTGAGATTGTTGGGAGGGTCTGAAATGGGTTCGAAAACTACTTCTGTATGAATGGTAGAGCTGGTAGTGTTTTTAGTTTGGTAGACAACTTTAGTAGTCGGTGAAAAAAATGACGATAACTCTCTCTACGAAATTTGGATTCACGCACCGTTAGAAGCATAGGAAACTAGATTTGAATTCCGTTCTAATGGTGTATAATGGAACACCCAATTTTGCCTACATAAATACAATTTTTTTCTTTCAAAGTAAGTAAATAAATTAGGGATTGACTTGTAAATGACAGATTTGATACTTGATGGAAAACTGATCGAAATTTTTTCTTTTTGATGCCATTTGGAGTCCATAACCTATGAATAGAAAGCTTAGTAACTTTACTTTATAATTAATTTGGTTTTGTACCAATTTTTAGAGGATAGAAACCTATTCTAAGTAAATTCACGTGATGGGTTTGTATAAACTTTAACACATGTTAGTGTTCGATGAAATATTTAAGTATATGGAATGATTGGAAATAAGACTAAAGTGACAAGGGAAAAGTTGAGTTGAATGTAATGTGAAATAAAAAGTGAAAAATTGAATAAGATTGATGCAAATCATTTAGCTATCCGCGAATCCACTAGTTGTCGGTTGAGAGGACAACACCAATTAATTCGTTTAGAAGCGATTATTTGTCTTGTGATTTTATTAAGAGTTGTGAGTTCTTTTTGTTATTCTATACCCTACATGCTTGTATTAATTATCTTTGAGGTGAGTAAATGATAATCAAGGGAAAGAGATTATTTGTAAAATACACCAAAATTTCTTTGGGAAGATTAAGTTATGGTGAATACGAAACATTATAAAGAATACTCTTGTGCATTTATTCGCATCAATTGAGTTATTTTAGAGTTGATACTCACTTTCATTTTTGCATATGCAAATTGTTAGGGTTGGAAGTGACTACATCAGTTCTACCTAGGAATCGACCATAAAGCAAAGAGGTGTGTTTGTCAATGGTAAATGTGAGAGTATACTACTTCATAACAAATAAAAATAAATGTGTATGATATATTCAATTTATTTTCTTTTATGTGAGAAATCAATGTTTTCGAATTGATTTAGGTTTAGTTGTTTAAATTATGGATCAAATGTGTTTTTATGAAAATCTTGTGATTTGAGTATTATCCATTGTGCCGAGTTGTTGATAGCTTGATATAACTTACATGTTATTGATTTTGACACTGTGCAAATATTGTAGATAACTTTGAAATTGCTTAAATATTGTTGTTTGACTCATTGCTCATGTAGAATATTTCTTATTTTGATGGATGAGGTTGATTTGAGTGTCAAAGTGAATTGAGTTTATTTTGGCTATGATTTGTAGGTTATTAATAACTTTTTGGTGAAATGATATTTGATTCATGTTTTGGTTATATTTCAATTATGATGTTCAATACACTCAAGAAAATAATTAGTTTTATGATGCCAAAGTCTAAAGGGGGTCTCTTACTGCATTAGTAAAGTAGAGATGGGTGAAAATTAAGGAAGCTGGTTATGTACATATTGTATACGAGAGTTTGTTTTCCCTAATGTTGTAAAGGGATAGAATTCCTAATCTTTTTGGTATAGGCAACCCCATTGTGTACTCTTTTATAAAGTTTATCTATTTTTTTGGTGTTAGTTGGTGGCATTATTGGTTTTAAATGCATTATTGCATTATAGGTGCAAGTATTGCCATATTTTAAGTTGTACTTCCATATTAGGGATACCAAATAGGTCTTTCAGGAAGGGGTGTTACAGTAAACTTATCTTGGCATCTGACTTCATCATGGCCTATAATGGCGAGGTCAATTTTGTGGTTATGAACGATGAACACGTCTTTTCTACTTTTTTGGCTCAACCACTTGTTCTTATGTTCCTCGTCTTGTCTTACCCTTATTATGCTTACCAACTCGTATCTAGAAATATTAGAGAAAGTCACCTTGGATATGCACAAAGGCACTAATTATGGCTTTGAGCCTATTTTCCTAGA